CACTTATTTCTGTAGCAGACGCCTAATTTAGTTACAGGCCTGATTGATTTGACAATAGAGAATCTGGTCCAATAAAGTGGCTGATTTATTCCTGATGCTATAGCTTTTACTCTAATGTGACATCACAGTAGAATTAAGTCGTTGACATGTAAAGAAATTCTTTGTAATCTTAATGAAAACTAAAGATTCTGAGAGTGGATACTGGAATATTGTCAAAACTTAAAGTCTAATTCTCTCTTTTTGTAGAATGAGAAACTCCACAAAGATCGTGATACAGAATATGGATTTGGACACAAAAAACAGTTTAGGATATAACATATATTCTATGAGTTTAAACTGTTTGCTGTACTAATGGGTTTTATTTTGTCTTTGTCTCCCTTTGTAAATTGGTTGTCTTTAATTTCTTGAAAATGAGCTATCTTCTCTTTGTAAGGATGCAGCAGAACTTTTGAGATCACTCATCTCAAAAGTGGTTTCATTTTAAATAAACAACAGCTTGAAAAAAAAAATCAATAAGAATCTTTGTTCCCAAATCTAGCCTTGAGATACTCAAGCCAATCAAGAAGGCGTTTGGGATGTGAGAAATTATAAGGGTGGGACGAGTTTTTAATGCAGCATCATAGTTGGTTCTCAAAAAATATTTTGAAAAAATTCTTCTCCAAACTAAAAATGCAAGGTATTTCAGAGTTGTTTAAATGTCTTTTTCTCCCTTTTTCCTTTCTTGCACACTGCGCCGTGCCCTCTCACTCCGAGGGCGACTTCCCTGACCCCAGTCTGACACTGCACCGTTAATGTCAGATAAACCATTTAGCCCAAACACAATTCTTTTCTGTGCAAAAATCTGCTTGAGGTGGAAAATGTAGCAGTTTGTAAACAATAAAGAGCCATGTTTTAGACCAGACAGCTTATCTAACAGAGAAGCCCTTTCATGGGAACAGTGGGTGGGAGCCTCGGGCCATAGCAGCATTTCCTATCACAATGCAGGAGACGGTCTTGGCCTCCATATTTAAGGGTTTAATGGGAAGGAGGGCAGACGGGATAAAAGAACACAGCTGACATCGACTTTCAGCTTAAACAACAACTAAGTGAAAAGAACTCTCTCCCCTAAAGCTCTAGACACTCAGCCTACTTATATTATTTTAAATACTATTTGGACTGAAAAACAAATTTGGTTTGTAAAACAGTTCCCCATGAGGACACATGAACAAGAGGAATGATTTAACATTTTGTATTGTTTTGTGTGTTCTGTGATATTAACTTATCAAGTTGTTCTTTAGGAAAACTTTTTTTTTTTATGTATATAACAAACTTCTAAATAGTAGTAGTAATTTATTCTATTTTACTTTAGCTCATTAGAGGATAGTTTTAGAATTTTCTAAGGAAGTTCTTTAATATACTCTCTTTAGGTGCAACTTAAGATTTTTTTTTTCAAATTAATTTTTATTCTATTTTATGATGTTGGGTGAGGATGAATAGAGAAGTGATGGCATTAGAATTTAAAATTATTACTAGTCATTGACGAGCCTGAAATTGTTCCTTAAATTTTGAGTCGATAAATATATTTAGTCATTGGCATCTGTAAATCCTGAAAACAGGAAACGTGCTGCACTTTTCTGTAGACAACCGATGAAAAACTGAGATTCTCATTTTAGCTATCAAGTTAACACATAAATATGAAATTTACCATTTTAAAGTTAACAAAGCACAAATATAAGAACAGTCTATCATCAAAGACAACTTTGTACTTCTCAAAGTTGGGATGACACTTAAACACACAAACATATGATATTACCCAGTAAAAATAAATTGCTAACATTTCTCTGCTTTGTCTATTTTGGGTTAAATGCCTGAAATTCCTTGAGATCGATTTAATGGTGATTTTTTTTGGCGGGGGGGAAGAAAAAGACTGAGGTTCAAGGACTATCTCTACACCTTAAGTAACAAGTATAATTCCAAGGCTTAAAAATCAGGATGTTTTTTAGAAGCATTTGCAATTATGGTTTCAAAATTATATAATTACAGCTGTGTGTTTTCTTTGGAGTCCAACAGCTTACAACAAGAAATTTAACTTCATATATTGATGATTTTGTAATACAATTTGGCTAAGTTCAGAGATATACTAATATTGTTAAAAACTCACATTTACTAAAACAAAGATCTTTTTTTTTTTCAATCGAAAGTAAGGCAACCAGCTTCTGAGATCTTTTAAGCCATTATGAATTATCTTTTCATTGCTCAGGTTATTGCTATTAAACAAACATCCTACAGGGTATCAAAGCAGAAAACTATGCTAAGAATACCAGCAGGAAGGGCATGCTGGCCATTTGCAGACTGTCTCAAACTTCACACAGCTCGCTTCCGGCGAAGTAGGATGTCTAGTGCACTAAAAAGTTCACGCCTTAGTAAATACATGACCAGATTTTACAGTTCAACTTGAACACACCACTGCTTGACTTACACACACTACCCCTATTATTAAAGGATTTTCTATGATATCTTTTAATAAAAATTCACAGCTAATACTATATTTCATTGCCACCTGGCAGTCCAATGATATTTTATTTTAAATATTCACCACTTTCACTTTATCGACTTTAACTTAGAAAACTAGTGTTGCAATGCTGAAATTACACAAAGTGCTTTTTACCTAAGGGAGACAAAATTTTCATGGAGATTTTGTATCACTGGGACTCTGTAATCCCGCATGATTGTAAAACTTAGTCCTTCATACACCATTACCAAGCACACTATCAATATTTTCCTGTAATTGAAAATTACTATAGTGAACTGACCAAAGATCCAAGTTCCTAAAAACAGAACATCTGTCTGGGCTAGTGTTCTCCCTTCCACTGTAAAACGTATTCATGAAGAAAATCAAAGTAATTTAAAATTCATCTTACTTTGTATTCTGGAATTGACAAAAGGTGGAGAGAGATTGTCATGTGACCCAAGGTCCCTGTTGGTCATGTGGTCATAGGGAGTCCCATCTCCATAGTTCTGTAAATAAAATACAGCATGTTTCAATTTTACGTGAAAATAAAAATCAGCACATAAATATGCTCCCACTATTGAGACCTTTCTGATCCAAAGAAACTGGAGTCCACCATTCTGACTCACGAACCTCATTGTAAGGAACCTGCATCTTCACAAGCACATTGGGTAAGAGAGGGCTCTAGTGTCTGCAGAGTTCAAATTTTCCACATAATTACTGTGAAATCTAGGGAATAGTAATTATAGAATCAATTGCATGAAATTGTTGACATGATTAAATGAAATAATACATGTAAAACACCTGATAAAATATATTGCAAATATTAAAAGTCTTTATTTTGATAAGCCAAAATTATTAAAAAGAAACAAAAACAGAAAGCAAAGTTGTGCTATAAAGGAAAATTATCCATAGCCTGTAATGAATTACTTTTGGAAGACCAAAGTAGAGCTCTTTAAACAACATTTGGTTTTTAGGATATTGAAATTTCACTGTTTTGTTATAGTCATTATTGTGGTTGTAGGAGAATTGGATCATTCCATAAGTAATTAACATATAGAATGTTAAAATTATTATAATATGACTCTGAATGATCACCAAAACTTTAGCATAAATTAGTACTTCAGGATTTAGAGAAAGTGTGCCACAAAAAAATTATTTTTAAAGCAGGCATAATTTTTGGCAGAAATTTGTCATTATTATGATTAACTCATTGTTTTAATGGGAATTTAAAATTAATGTTTTTAAACAGCCTAATCACTTATTTTTAATGGAGGAATTTGATGACATATAGAAAAGAAAATCATCTATATCAGTCTACTAAGGTGCATTAAGTAACTAAAAAAAAAAAAAAACTCATCTGCTCAGCTGGTTGCACTGCCCATAAAGACTAACTCAAATTTACTCAGAGGTGTCAGTCGGCATGCTAGCCAAAGGGCAGAATCTGCCTGCACAAAAAAGGCGGATGCTGCATGAAAAATGAAAATGCACATCACCTCACTAGAGAATAACTGGACTCCTTAAAGTTCCAAACAACCTCATTTCAACTAATTTTCCTCATTTATAAAAATTAGTTTGAATGATACTGTAATCTAATGCTGTCAACATGTCAGTATGTTGAAAGAAGTCACACTTTAAATACCTAGCATGGGTTTTAAACTCGCTCATTCCATACCCAGCAGGCACTGCATAATACTAATTATTATTTATTAAGTGTCTTCATCCTAAAGAGTATACCAAAAGCTTAATTTACATTATCTAATTTAAACCTCAGCACAGTACTGCAAGGTAGCTGAGAGCATCACCACTTTAAGATGAGAGAAGAGAGACTTGGCATGACAGTACAGGTACAAGTCAACCACAGTAATCTGTCTCATCCAAACTCTCTGGATTTAGAAAACATAAATTGCAAATATCGATTCAAAAATTATTCACCACCATATTCCCTGAAAAAAAAGTGGCAGGACAATTAATGAAAACTAAATAAAAGTCAGAATGATCCTAAATGGACCTCGTTCTCAGAAATATAATTAAAAGTACTATGTGTATTAAACTGAGAAATCACAAGAAATTAAGTAAGTCTGAATGAACTAAACAATAGAGGGAAGTGCTCTCATCTCCAACACTTGCTGTCAGGGGAATGGATTTATTTCTGCAAATGCAGACTGTAACATGAGGAGGAGGAAAGATTTCCTCAACCTATCCATATAACGCATTAGAATGTCAAACTCGACAGCTGGTGCAGGGCTCAACAAAGTTACTGGTAAGCTTAGAGATCCTGCTATACTCTGAAGACTAGAGCGAGAACCACAAGGCCAAAGGACAGGTGGAAATGGGTGACTGTGGCTCGCTGAAATGTCCTCATTTTGACAGCTTGATTACCTTTCTTGCCTCTTATGCCAAAATAGAGACCTCCCCCCACGCTAAATTTATGTGAACACTTAAAGAGTAAAATGTTACCCTCCCTACAGAATGCTTTATCTATATAGCTGGTTGGTTGAGGTGCAGATGTTTGTTTAGCTATGTGCTCTATTTTTAATTTGGGGTATTACATGTATATTATAAAAGCAGACATGGATTTTAGAGGGCCTAGAAATGATTCAACTGAAGGAAGACAGATTATATATCAAATCACACATATTTAAGTTGTTGGAAGGAACATAAAAGATCCTCTGGTTCTACTTCGTCATCTTACAAATTAGGAAAATGAAGATCAAAGAGGTGAAATGACATGCCCAAGGTCATATACATACAAGAACACATATTGTCTAACAACCCCACTCTACCTCATTCTATGGTCTTCCCATTACACCCAAACTAATAACCGAATCATAGAGGAAAACCATGAAAGGAGTGGCAAAATGCTGAGACCAAATAAATGAATGAACCCGACTGGTGACCAAATACACTACTGATGGAATAATATGTTTACAAAGTGAAATCAACTGATATATATTATATAGATTATACTGGTAGGCTAGAATTTCATACTATGTCTCTAGAATTATTCAGTAGTCTATTTATACCAATACATTACAGAGATACTAGGATTTTTTCCAAAGTGTGACATCTACAACAAATAATTTTCTATAATACTACATCAATAACTGGCAACATAAGGCCAAATATTTAATAAAGGATTTTTCTTTTGGTTAGCAGAAGTGGAACAGGTGTCAAATTCAATAATAGCATCCAATAAGAGAATGAAAAATAAATTCCAAACACAAGCTGATCCTCATTAAATTTAGTATGCATATATATCCGTGCAATTGTGTGTGTTCGTTAGAGAAACTCACCTTCAGTTTGTCAATTTACATATGTGGGATGTCTGGTTGTGGAAGAAATGATTAGATATACTTACCCTGGACGGGCTTGGATGTCCTCCATTCCCCCAGGACCCTGAGCTACTTCTGTCTTCTACATCTAGGGACAAGAGAAAGTTCTTTAGGCTTTCTTGCAATAATTCTTTCTTTTTGTATATGCATTTTTAAATTAATGTTTCAAATTAATCTCCTGTTGCCTTTAATTAAGAATCAGGCACGGGGCTACTACGATGATAGTGACTTCTGACCCATCTACTTAAATTAACTCATTTAAATTCATAGCAGAAATGAACTGGACCCTCAGGAACTAGAGGTATGAACATAAAAATTACTTCCATCTTTCACATCTTTCATAGTGTTTCATAGCATCAACTTTTATAGACATGAAACTGCACTTAAAGTTTTATTTAAATCTTCTGAACAAAATAAATGTAAAACTACACTATCACAACCTTAACACACACAAAAAAAGTTAAATTCAGGTAAATATTCATACTTACATTGGCAGGACCCATGCCAAAATACTCTAAAACTCAAAAGCCCCTCTCCCCCCGCAAAAATTCGGTTGTCTATTTCCACCAGTACAAAGATATTACGATTTTGTTTTCGAGGGTTTTTAAGACAACATTGTCTCAGATTTTTAATTTTTTTAAAATAGATTTGACCACCTGGCCCACAGTTTTTAATCTGGGCATTGAGCTATGGAAATTACAGTCGTTAAAGCAATGTTTTATTTTGCTAAATAATGGTGAAGAGACCGACATGAACTACGGAAAAGTTGGAATTCTAAATCCTATAGCAGCAAAGTTCTAATGCTGACTAGATTACTAAACGCTCAGTTAGTGCTTCAAGTGGCAAATACTCAGGATGGAGGATGTAACAGCTAAGTTATCATTTTAAGTGCTTAAAACATAAAAGTGTTTTAAAGATCAGTCACTCTATATTTAGAAACAGCTTTGAGATCTTTGATGAAAGGCCCTTTATAAGTATAAAAAGTTTTACTGTTCTATTATTTTGATCACGGTTGATAACAGACGGCCATCACAAACTTCCTCTGACAGAACTGGAGGAGGAGGTGTGAAACACTGGGTCAGCAGACATAATCCCATTTATTGTATTTCCTAACATTTCAGTGATACTGTTTATTCTCTTACTGCACTACTGTCATTCCTTTTATTACTGCTGTTTTATCATCAGCAGAAATAATCATAGTATAATTAATTGATTGATTTTGGGGTACAGTAGGGTACATGGCATTTGAGCATTTTAGAATATCTGAAGAGATGGAATAGCAACAACAATAAAAAAACAACTATTGTCACTAAACTTGAATTCTTCCTGTTTTTAAACTAATTATTTTGGTTCCTTTTTTTTTTTTTTTTTTGGTGCTTCAGAAGGTACTGCAACTGCAAACAGATGTCTCCTGTGGACAGCTAAAATCAGGAACAATAAGCTTTAAGGAACGTCAAGAAAGCACTGGGGAGTCATCTAATAGGGAGAGAAAGTGCAATACCTTCCCCGAATTTGCTGTTCAACAGCCCAGCCTCCTGGCCTATCTGGTATGTGCTGACTGAGGTACACAGAGAAGAATCCTCTCAATTCTCACATGAATAAGTTTTGTTGCCTACATGGTTCTCTTCATCCTTAACCAAAAATCTAATATTTCGGGGGGGAGGGGGGGAGAGTCTAAGTGACCAGATCTCTCAAACACTGCAGGTTTTCAGAAGTTTGATGCCCCTTGATTCCTTTTCACCTGAAACAGCCAGCTTGGATTAATTGGAGGGATTTCTACTCTTCAATTTGGCCAAAAAATAATGCAGGAATGGAGTTGAATCCCTATCTTTACCATAAGATGTCATATTATTTGGACGTATTTTATCTTTTCACATTTCAAAGAGGGTTTTGAACATGAAAAGTAGGCAGAGACACGGAGGAAAGTAATGTCAGGACAGTGGTTCTCCACCAGGGGCAATTTTGGCCTCCAGGGGACATTTGGCAAAGTCTGGAGACATTTTGAGTTGTCACAGCTTGGGGGGAAAGGGGCGCTGCTGGCATCTAGTGGGTGGAAACCAGGGATGCTGCTAAACATCCTGTTCATACACGACACAGTCCCCAACAACAAAAAATGTTCTGGCCCCAAATGTCAACTGTGCCAGGACTGAGAATCCCTGTGCTAGAGGAAAAATCATATTAAAGAGCAAAAAGAAAGAACGAGTTGGAGAACAGACAAACTAGAATTTGATTTATAATTCAGTACGAACTCTTACTAAATACAAAGTGACTTATGCATTTTAACCCAGACCTGAGCTGGAATGTTTCGAGAGACCCGCGTATACATCTTCTGTCCACAAAATAAAGTAAAAATGACTGTCAACCAAGCAGCCTGCTAATTAGCAGGCAGATAAAACACATCAAAACTTGAGTATTCCCAACTGGGCAATTTCAAAAGTGAGCAATCCACTAATTAAAAATGCTGGAAGTCTAGCTTTTCCAAAACAGGTTAAATACTGGTTGGGTTCCTTTACAAATAGATTCTCAACCAATCAAATCTGACTGCTCTTTTGCCATCCATTCCCATTTCCACCTTTCTCATTTCCTGACCGCATGCTGCTGTGCCTTCCTCCCTCTTACTGCTCTCTTTTTAACTGGCTTTTCCATCCTTTGGCCTCCTGCTCGATCTAGAAGGTAAGGCCAGATCTCTAGCTCTCCCAAACCTAATAGAATAATCATATGATTTCTGATTACATTTTATCTTTGAAAAAAATATCTGTATAACTGGTGCTCATTCATCCAAGCAAGCACACACAAGGCTATAGAATGGATATCTGTAACTCATAATACATATAAACATGTTACTTTTATTTATTTCCATCTTCTCCCCCACTGAGCTTTATCAGATCTGCCAGTTAGCATGCATTTCCTCAACAACTGTTCCAGCACATCTCAAAATGCATCTGACAACCACCCCACATCTGAGTCACCTGGCATGCTCATTTCAAAAAAATCAGCATCTTTAGGGTCCACTGCAGACTTAGTGAGTTTTGCTCGTTGGAGATGGGGCCAAGGGAAAAAAAAAAAAAAAAACAAAACTGTTTTTATCCAGGTTCCCAAGTAATTTTCATGTACATAGGAGTTTGAGATACAGCAGCCTGCTCTATCGGGAACACAAGACAAGATGCATGCCCCTCACCACAGCAGTTGCCCATCTCACTCTCTATCTTAAAATCTCTGCCTGGGTTTCCAGTTTCAGAAGCATTCAAAACACGCTCCCATCACATCTATTTCCCAATGGTTCTTGCCCAGACTCACTTTTTATGTTAATGCTAAACATGGCCCTCACTCGGTCAGTCCTTACTCCCTACTGCTGTACCTGAACACTGCACACACTTTGATGTATCTCCATGTTTTCGTATCTCTATTCCCTTTGCCTGAACTGTTCTTCATCTCTCAAAAAATAACTAATATTTAGTGAGCTTAAATATGTGTTACACTATACGCTAAGCACTTTGATGCACTAACAGTATCCCCATTTTATAGAAATGAAAAAACTGAGGCTTCAATGGGATAGAAAACTCCCCCAAGGTGACAATAAATGGCAGAGCTGGCCAACAAAGGTATTGCTCCTGCTAAAAGCCAGTGAGTGGTCTCCTCCACTACATACATGTCCCCATGGTAAGAACTTCAGATCTCTCCTTGACCAGTTCAAATATGACCTCCGGTCACTTCTCCCCAGGCAGAGTGAATGTATTTATTTGGGAGTTTATGCCCATTCTTGTGTCCACAAAAGATTACAGAATTATATACAACATAAAAAGGAAATATTTGAAGAAATCAGGAGATTAGAAAAGTAGGAGAACAATAACATTCTTATGAGCTTATCAAAATGCACATTGTGATGGACTAGAGAAGATAAAAATTCTACTGAATGAGAAAAGCAGAGTGAAACAAAATTCACAGTTAGCATGGGATAAAAAAACAAACTGTTCAGGAAATCTATTAAGGTCGCATAGTAATAAATGAAAACCTGCCAAGGATAGCAGCAGTCTGAATATTTAGTTCTTGAGCCTTTCCCTTGTTCCGTTGCCACCCTCTATCCAAGATGAGGATCAATAACAGAAAGACAATAACCTAGGCAGCAGGAGGGAAAGGGAAAAAGCAAGTGGATGACAGAAAGTATTCTTCCACGAGACTGAAATGCACTTGATTGTTCAAGATTTTTCTTATTTATTTTACCCAAAACTAGGACAAACATGGTAATTTTCATGGGAATGGTAGTTCCTTTAGGAGACAGCCTGACAATCCACAAATTTTCATTTTATTTCAGTAGTTCTGTATAAGCCCCCTCTAAAATGTCTGACGTTTCAGCACCGAAACACCAAAGCAGGGTGTGGGTAGAATTAGAACCAAATACTCCACTCAGAGAAAAGATATTAAGACATAATTTTTAATCTCTATGATTTCCCATCCACATTCATTAATCTTATCATTTGATTACTCAAATTTCTACTTTGCTTATATGGACCAGGAGATCAAAACAATCAGACCAGACAAATATCAGAAAATAGAGCACTGCAGGAATTGAGATAGAGACCTGGTTTTTAGTAGCAACTCTGTATTAACCAGCTCTATGGTCTGAGCCAGTTCCAGGCCTCTCTGAATCCATTTTTGTCAACTGTAAAAAAGGGGTTAGATTTCCATCTATACTTGGATGTCACACACACTCACACACACACCCCCACACACACAAAGTTTAAAATGATGGATAAAACAATTTTAATCTTCTTATAATACCAATGAGCTGACTAGAGAGTGAGAATTATCAAGCCAAAATCAAAGTGAAAGCTGGAACCCAGGGAGGAAGAAAAGACATTTTTGCCCTGAGGACATCTGCCAACCTAGAAAATGTAATGGCCTCTTGGGTCTAAGAGAACAGAAGTGAAAACCCAGGACCCACCCAAAGTAAGCATCTAACAGGAAATAAGAGGATAATAGGATTCCAACTTCAAGGAGTTATTATTAAAGTCAGTAAGTTAATTAATACTTGCTAAATAAACACTTAGGGCAGTACCTGGCCCACAGCAAATACTCAGTAATCAATAT